TAGTTTGGTTTTAGCAGCCAGGCTAATTATGGGTTTATTCAATGTGAGCAAAGGTAATATTGATGTCTAATAAAGATAGTTGTAACAGTTGTAGCAGGAGAAATGCAGGATCAAGATGGTACAAATAGTTGTCATTGGGTGATTTAATATTTTTAAAATTTAGTCTTTTTAAATAACCTTCTTAATCTCTGTCATATTTTCTGATACTGAGATTGCATATTCCTGATCTGTGCTGTCTGTAAGAGTCGGGGCTTTACTAGAAAAAGAAAAAAACCTTGGCTCCCAGTGCTGTGAAAGAATATTCTGATAAGGGGAAATGCCTGAATCGCAAGTGGGGACACCGTTGAACCTGTAAACGCAGAATACTAACCCGTGCTTGTATTCTCTCCTGACTCGGGTGCAGCGTTCTGTCCTGTCACTTAGGATGTCAGGCTGTAGCCATGTGTTTGTGCATTAAGCAAAGCAAAACTTGTTGGGGGACGCAGACTTAGACTGATGTCTTCAGTTGCAACACAAAGCTAACGTTTGTGGAGTCCACTTTAAAGAAAAACTGATGTAGACATTGAGTCATAAGGATCCGCTTGCATTTGTGTAGCTCTTGTAGCTAATCAGAGCTTTGCCCTCGCAAGAGGTCTCGCTGCTGGAGCGCTCACGGGGGCTGTGTGAACAATCTTGAGGCAAATGCCAGTCTTCCTTTTGACATTTTAACTGTCTGTGGAATGCGGTGGGTGTCAGTGGGGAATAATCCAACTGGCACGGCACTATCAGACCACGATTCAGAGGCTGCTTGTGTAAGTAATCAGGCACTTGTGTGTTATGAAGTGTAGTGAATTATAACATCAGTAAATATTTCTGTAATATTTCTTGTAAATAGTGTTTTGTTAAGCTTTATTTAAATAGACTTAATGAATTGGAGGCTCTCCATTCATCTGACAGAAATCAAAGCCATTGTAGGGAATGTGCCTCCTATTGTCAGTAAAAGCATATTAAGACCTCATTTTGGAGTGGTGATACTCAGTCTAGGAATTGCAAGCAGTTCTTAGGATTGTTGCATGTAGGCAAGTTTACCCTATGGATTTGGGGCAAGATTTGTGTTTTCTGGTTCAGACTTCTGGCAATGTGCCTGTTTAAACTATATTTTTGCACTTCTACATTTGGGTTGTAGTGCCTGGCACTGTAAGCAGGCTGGCACCTGCCGAGCTGTCAGGAATCTTTCCCTGTTCTTTTGAATCAGCTAAAATAGTGTAGGTGTTTGGTAGAACGGGTAAAGAGAAATTTGAGCTTTCTTGTTGTGGCTGAGAGGGGGCCAAAGAGGTTTGTATTGACTGTGGAATATCAGCCCTGCAGCAGTGATGCTCCAGGTACTTGGGTCACAGAATTTCAATGGAGGTCAGTACCAGACAGTAGAGTGTGCAGTGGGGTTGCAAGAGGAAGCTTCTCATAAGGAAGTAGACTTGTAGTGGGCTCTCTGGAGGAAAAAACAAAAAGGGAATGAGCTCTTTATGGCTTGATTTTTGTGTGTCATGTTTATGTATTCTCAGTTACAAAATGGTTAGTGCAACCAGAGTGAGCTTGATTTAAGAATTTCCTGATGCCTCCCTCCACCCCAGTAGTCACTTGGCTGTTTGGATTAAGGAATAGAGGATGACCAGATAGAATTCATGCACGTAGTCACGACCATCATTCCATGAGCTGTAACTCTGCTACTTTGATGTGTCATTTGGCACACCGTCACTGTTCTTCACTTTGAGATAAAGTATTGCCAATCCTGTACCTAAAACACATCTCATTTTTTTTAAATAAGGCCTAGAAAGCACACATTTTTTTCTGGGTTTGATATATGTATTGATCTTTAGCTTAAGCTTCATCAGTGAAGTTTAGAAATGTAGTTTTTAAATGCTGGCTTATATAACAATTTTAGTAATTAATTCTAGGACATGGGGCTTTTAGGAATGTCAAGTATTGCAAGACGTGGGAATAAACTGCGAGAACTGGCAGTGCTGCATACAGCACATGTCACTGATTTGGATCCTTATTGCAGCTTGTAGTAGTTAGTGCTTGAAGGCATTGCCAAACCTCACATGACCACCTATCAGCATCAGTCTTAGACTTCAGTTGTTGCTGAGGCTTGAGTAAGAGTGGGATGATAATAAGTTGCCTTAGCAGCTGAGGGTGGGAGACTAAAAGAATAATTACAAATATGAATTGACCAGGCGCTGACTTAAGGCTGTAGTAGCAGGTACTACTCTACCGTGTACTTGTCAGGCTGGCTGACTGGAACGGTTACAATGGGTCTAATCTGTCACTGAAAGATCATTTTGGGGGTGTTTGCTTAAATTTTGAAATTAGTCTGAGATATTTGGATTGTCAGAGTGTCTACTTACCAGTCTTGGGTGGTCTGTGGTATGTTTGTCAGTGGATGATGTGGTGGAAGGTGCAGGTATGGTAACAGGCATCTTTCCTGTGACAGTAGAAGTGGTTAAAATTATAAAGGTATTATGAAGTGACTATTAGTCTTTAACAAGATGTCTTTCCTAAATTATATAGTAATATTGTATTTTATATATATATTAAAAATATTAATAAAAAGAGTGTGATAAGATAGCAGAGAATCTGCTCTTCTATCAAGATTATTCTTTCCCTATGGATTCTTGGGTTTACTAGCAGGTGATCTTGTGCCAAATCTGTAGTATAACTTGTTTTAAGAGAGTGGATCATGAGAAATTGTCTGACTTTGACATCTACGTATACATACATATCTACACTAAAAAAATCCAAACTAACAAGTCAGTTTGCTGCATTTTGCTGGAATGACATCACAGGCAGCCTTGGTATTGCCTTATGAGTGGCATAAATAACCACTGCATGGAAATAAAACACTGCACCGGGCATTCTTGTTGTGGATACAGCATATATTGACAAAACCATACCTATTGCTTCCTTATGTTTTAGTTTTACCCAGAAGTGGAAATGTTGCAGCAGGAGCAGAGCTATGTTTGGTCACATCTGTATTTCATTCCTTTGGTAGATGTTTTGGAGAATGTCTTGCAGAAACAGTGAATTTTCAGTGTTCGCTTCCCCTCACTGAAACTGCTGTTTTCCATCACTAGCAGCTCCTTTCTTTAAAATAAAATATTTTTTCATCAGCAAAGTTCCAACTCTTACAGAACAAGAACTAAAAATTAGACAGACATAACTCTTGTCTAACTAGTTCCTTAACTCATCTGGAGTGAGTACACAGGCTGGCACTTAAGCAGAATGAGACATTGATGCTGGAGTGGAATGGGAATGACTTCCTATACAGACAGACCAGAAACATGCATTGTAACACAAATTGTCATCCTGTATTGTTTTCGTTCTGCCCTGGCCTCTTAGGACTTTTGAGTCCCTGATGGGTCGGTGTTACATGACTGAAATTTGCAATTGAGTTTGTATTCTGAAACTTCTCTGTTTAGACTGCTGTTGAAATGAATAGTCTTATCTGCAGAGGCTTACTAAGCAGAGCTGATAACTTTGTAGAGAAATGTCTTGCACTGATAATCTATTTTCACCCCTGCTTTTCTTCTGAAAGCTTTATTATCTCAGTATTGAAAATGATGGACTTTTTGGCTGAGCTAAGAATGCTTTCTTAAATCCTGGATTAACCAACAACCTGGCAGTTACTGTGCATCTTCAGTAGCAGGCAGTTCCATTTGTTGTATTGTGGGGTTTATTTTGTTTGTTTTGGTGGAGTTTTTTGGTTGATTGGTTTTGGGGTTTGGGAGGTTTTTTGTCTCTTTGATTCTTAGTCCTCAGTGGGAGTGAGTGCCCTGATTGAGACTTACCTCTTCTCCTGATGATCGTTTTGAGTCTTGCTAAGCAGCTTGAGTGCAGGATAGACTTGAGTCTCAATTTCCAGCCTCATGGGCTCTACTCAACTGCTGACTCTTAGGACTTGGCAAGGAGGTTTAGCTACAGAAAATAGGGGAGAGGTTTTTCTTGTTTGAGATCTGCACTCTTCTGGTTTTGAGCTGCTGCAGATAGAGCTGCTTCTCAGCAGTCAATTAGAAGTATTCTATTTACTTTTCTATTAAAAAGGTCTTTTAAGATAACTGTTTCTTCAATTCAGCATTACACTGTTCTCTGATGAAGCATATATCTAAAATAGAATCTTTATATTTGAAGGAATTTCTAAATTTAGAAACTCTTATATTGGAACCGATGCCGCCACCACCACCACTACCACCACATCTTGTGGATGGTGTATTCTGATAACTGCAGGTAAAGAATGCATCCAGCATGGGTGGTCTTGATATGAAACATGGTACAGAAGTTAAGAGATTCCCAGGGACTCTAAAGTATAGTAGGGTTCTTCCTCCACCCCCTGCCCCCCCATCTTGCTTTAGAAAGTACACATAGTGTGTGTGCCTAATTTCTCTAATTCAGTTTCAGTACAGTACCCTGAATGATAACTGTGTAAGTTCAGTTAGTAGCAGAGATGATGAGCTGAAGAGAAACTGTGCTGTGTACCCACTTCCAACACTGTTTCAAACCATATTTGGAAAAAAAACCCTCAACTTTTATTCCAAAAAACGTTTAATAGATCTATTTCTTAGATCCAGTAGTTCATTTTTAAGCTGAGTTAAAAGGGAAGATGCAATAATCAAACTAATATCTGTACTGTGGATGAATGCCTTTCCCTCGCTAGTGCTGATCAAATGCTAGTGAGTATGTTACGTGAGGTTTTTCATCCAGGGGCCTCAGCACCACTTTATGGCTGGCTTTTGGTCTGCCCTGTCTTCCAACTAGTTTGGATAGTGGAAATAGTCTAGGAGACGAGGTAAGTGTAAATACTTTTGTAGTCTTCTCTTAAAGAAATATTTGCAAGTTTCTTGGTATGCCCTTGATCTTTATATGGTTATGTCTGTATCAGAATAGGTAGAGATAAACTATTAAATAAGGTAGCTTGATCCAGAATGACTGATCCACTAGCTAAAATGGGTTGGGTTTTTTTTTTTTAGGAGTTGTAGAAGGTGATTTAGCTGCCGTTGAAGCTTACAAGTCATCAGGAGGAGATATTGCCCGCCAGCTTACTGCAGATGAAGTACGCCTGCTAAATCGCCCTTCTGCTTTTGACGTTGGGTACACGCTTGTGCATCTGGCGATACGCTTTCAGAGACAAGACATGCTAGCAATTTTGCTTACGGAGGTGAGTTCTTTTGGCTCTTACATAGACTGAATAGGAACCTCACGTAACCGCGTCGTTTGCAACCGGTGACATGTAACTTTATGAACTAGAAGATGGAGGCTGATATTGTTAGGAGATGTGAACTGTTGCTTTGTGACTTTGTTGACGTTTCTCCTAGAGAAGTGAGTTTACTTCAAGACTATGTGGTGGTCTTGAGGATGTTCCGTTTTCTCTTTAACGAGCAGTCTTGGCACAGGCTCTGACCTTACTGGTGGTGGAAGTGAGCTATTGTGAGGCTTCCTGTGCCTTGGGTGGGGGAGAGGAAATTCCCTGAAAGCAAAACACAGAGATCAATGACAGTGTAGTTCTTTTTCTGAGTTTTGTTAATGAATCAAGTCTACCTGGTCTTTCTTCCCTGTTTTTCTTGGGAGTTTCTCGTCCAGAGAAAGTCTTGCTTTGCAAAATTGCTGCATTTTTTCCCACTCTTGGCTCATTTTATAGATTGGTTGGTTCCTCTCTGTGGTCTCCTTGCTCTTGCATGTTCCATTTTCTTGTATATTTTTGTACTGTCCACCTCACTTCTGGTCATCTTTTTGCCCTCCTCCTAGGCCTGTAAGTAACTTTTTTTTGGTCTGCTTTCTTCATCTCGGAGTTCTGGTTCCTGGCCGGATCAGAGCCATATTTTTATTCTGCCTCCTTCCCTCTTTTGATGCTTAGTGCAATTCTGAAAACAGTGTTCCTAGAAAAGTAGCATGCCTGAGAAGCGCATAACGGTGATGGAGTGCATAGCACTGACTAATTAAAAAGAGTAGATGAAGCAAGACAAATGTAGCTAAAGCCTTGAGTATATATTTATATATGGGTAATATCAGTAGTTTTGTGCTGCTTACATAGCTATCTGGGTGAATGGAGTTACGCATTTGAAAACAAGTTAACTTGCTGCAATACCGCCTTACAGGTTTTTCTATTTGGTTTTCTTTCAGTTTTTGGGAATGCTTACGTAACATATCGTTTATGAAAATTCTTACTAGTGCTTGAGCCACTGTAATACTCTCCTTTTGCTAGGATATTAACTAGTGAAAAATGTGTGTCTTAAAGAGGTGTTTTTTTTATACATTCAGTGTCACCCCTGGGTCACTTACCCTGTATCACTGAATGAGTTCCTGCTGCCCATGATGATTACCATCTGCAGAAATTTAAGTATCTCAGCTTCATAGTTTTTTGGAAAGATTCTTTGTAGGAAACTGTTTTGTGCTGTGGTAGTGTAGTTCTTTGTTAAATGTAGACTGGGCTCATGCATAAGGTTTGAAGTATGTTTCCTATTGTTACCTAGCTCTTGCCTATTTCTTTTGTTTTCCTCCTTCTGCTGAAAGCGGTTAAAGAAGTATTTAGGTTAAAGAAGTATTTAACCAGCTTTGCGTTATCAGCTACATGACAAATGAGATGTTAATTGAGAGTCACTAAACATTTAAGCTTTCAGGGTACCAATGTTTATACTTCCTTTGCATTACTTGCTAACAACATACTGTCTGCTGATGGTTATCAGTCCGAAGTCATCCTATTGAACTAGAAATAATACTGAGTGCAGTAACTGTGTTATGTTACAGGTATCGCAGCAAGCAGCGAAGTGCATTCCTGCCATGGTGTGTCCAGAGGTCACAGAACAAATTCGTCGTGAAATCGCTGCATCTCTTCATCAGCGAAAGGGAGACTTTGCTTGCTATTTTCTGACTGACCTTGTAACGTTTACGTTACCCGCAGGTAGTTACAAAATCCTTCTTACTGATGGAATCTTTTTCTTTTCTTGTTACCTTGTTGAGAATTGCTTGGTTTGGATGTATTCTTTGACTTTGTGATGGTCGTGGGGTGTGTGTGCATTAGGTTTTAATAGCTTAGGTCAGATCTAGCATTTGAATTTGTTTATGCACACTTAAACCCATATGTTGTTCCTGTGAAGTGAACATCCTTTTTAGACATGAAGAAATTGAAAAAAAGCAGTGTATTCTAAGGAAAAGCTGTGTTTAAAGTTAAGATTGGAACCCAGACTATTTCTGGGTGCTAGTATGACTCTTAACATAGCTATGTTAGCTTTCAGTCCTTTCCCTTAAGGCCCAGGGCTATTCTTTGCATTTGTAGCTGGTTATAGCAATTGTACTTTGAGGCACGCCAGGATCAAAAGAATTTTTCTCTATTAACAAACTAATCTTTGCTATCTTTTGTTTCTTTTTAATAGAATTGTTTCTTTTAATAGAAATGCTAGCAGAGCTAAGAAAATTTGTAGATGGAAACTGTAGCAATCAACAGATCCGTTTGTCTTTTTTATAAAGCAGTGGCCTTGTAAGAATTGTATTTGGAACCTCTTTGGCTGAGTGTTACCTCCCTTCAGAAAGTGTGGGTAATACCACTTGTCTACAACTATCTGTTTGAGGTGCTGTATTCAGCCTTATTGTGTGGGTCACGTACGAGAGGCAGACGGTGTGGGTGTACAAAGCGTCTAGAGACTAACACTTCATTGCAGTTTAGAGGGAGAAGGGAAAGAGGGGAAACAGAATGATTTCATAACACGTGAGAAATGTTGCTTTCACCAGAACTGCGGAGTTTGTTCAGTATTTTCAAGAGATGCGTTCCCAAACCACTGTGTATCTTTTTAACGTGTAATAGCCATTAAATAATTAAGGAATGAGAATGTTCAAAAGCTTCTGTACATCAAGACTGTTGATGTATTTCCACTTCCATTACACTTGGTCAGCTGAACATATTTTGTAGTCAACAGTTTAGCAGCTGGTCTTGAGACAGCATCTCCAAGGACAGTGGTATAACTCCCACAATCCTATTCAGGTATTACCTACTTGATGTAGTTTAGGAACCAGTTTCCACTTGATCTTTCAGAGGAGTGATAGGATCCTCCTGAAGAGCCAATATACAGATGTTAAGACTGTAGAACTTTTAAATTGATTGCTGGCCACTGTAAGACAGTTTTAGTAATTAAAAAAAAGTTTTAAAAATCAATCATACAGGAAAGAGACCCACAACACCCTGCCTGCACCAAACAATAGTATGCTTCAGCAACTTGTGTGTCTGAATGGGGACTTCAATTTTAGAAGGACATCTGAGCAAGACTGGCAAGATAAGGACACTGAAATTGAGAGAGAGATCTTGCTGCCCTTGAAATACCACTTAGGACCCAGTCCTTATCCCCTAGACTGTCTGAAGGGATGCTCGATGCTTCTGTTTTAACTATTTGATTTACTTTCTTAACTTTGACGTATTTAAGTTTCACAACTGTGCTGAAGCTAGCAAAGCTGCTCTGGTTGCTGATCTGCCTTAGCAACCCTTTAGTACTTACCCTGTATTGAAATGCAGGCCATGAGCAAATCTTTAAGGTGTAGCAGATGTTTGTGTTTTGGAATGTGTGACAGTGTGTGTTTGTTTTACATGATACAGGAGTCATAAAAGAGTTTTGCCCTTTATACAATTTTCTGTCTCTTATTTTTTTAGCAGTAAATGCACGGTTGCAGATTCTGCCTGTAGAGCTCTTGGAACAGTTGTCAGTAGTGGCATTTTCTATGTCATAGCTCAATAGTTTTCTCACTTCTTGTTTTCTAACCTGCAAACCTTTGGAGTACTCTGAACTATTTCATCAAAGTCTGCATGAAATCGTTAAGGAAGTTGATATTCTGTACAAGAGCAAGCCTCTTGGCAAACTGTACCTGTCCTTTGTGGGAGACTGGGGCGGGGAAGCCATTCACATGGGTGGAAAACTATTGTGTAGGATTGAAGCTGTCCTAAATATAGTAGGGTTGAGAATTTTTTCTTTTCTTTTCACCTCAAAGTGGTTCTCCACTTCCTCCTTTAGAGAAATCCATTCTTATCCTACATGTGCTGTGATGATCCTTTCTGCATAAAAGGTATGGCAGTCAGTCTGAGATACATACCTACTTCAGCCTGCTCTGTGAGGCCTGTGCTCACAAGTGACAGATCTGAAAAATAATAGCAGCTTTTCAGAGGAGACATTAGGGATGATAGCAAAAAAGCTGTTGCACAAGTTCTCCTGAGCATCAGCTGGCAATGTGTCTCTCCTTAAACTGACTTCTCTATTTGCTTTCTTATTTTTCCAGATATTGAAGACTTACCGCCCACAGTCCAAGAAAAGTTATTTGATGAAGTACTTGATAGAGATGTTCAGAAAGGTAGATACTCTGAGAGTGGCTGGAATCTCTCCTTGCTTTCCATTAGAGAATATTTCTGTTGTTAAAAAAGTGCATTTGTGTGTGTGTGTGTATATGTGGCTTTGTTGCCTGAATTTGTTTTAAATATAGATTTGATGCTTTCAAGTTAATTTCACCCTAGAATTATCTTAATTTTAACATTTACAGTCAGTATTTGAGGCACAGAGAGAATGGAGTCTGTAGAAAATAGTGTTTGTAATGTGTCTTTGAATTTTAAATATTTTTAAAGCGCTACAGTTTTAAGTCACAAGCTCTTCCACTTCAGTAACAATCCTCAAACGAACGATGCAATGCTTTGTTTAAGGCTATGGTTTGTTCTATTTTGTTTATTTCTTTTCTTTTTATTCTTGACAGCATTTTGCCCAAGGAAGGCCTTTAACCACTATAGTTCACCTATTTTTGTAGCATGAAGGAAAACTTAGTTTTATTCATGTAAATGGGTGAATTGTTGAGATTATGCCATTACTGTGCTGTTCGGATTCTCTGAGACGTCAAATGAATATACGTTTAAAAAGAGGTTATTGTCATGTTGCAGAGCTAGAAGAGGAATCTCCCATTATTAACTGGTCACTGGAACTGGGTACGCGCTTGGACAGCAGATTATACGCACTTTGGAATCGGACTGCAGGGGACTGCCTGCTTGATTCAGTACTACAAGCCACTTGGGGCATTTACGACAAGGATTCAGTGCTGCGGAAAGCTCTTCACGACAGTTTACATGACTGCTCACATTGGTAAGTTTTAGTTTTTGTCTACTTTAAGATAGCTTTCCATGTAGCAGAGTACTACAGTATTAAAAAGAAACACAACCAGCACTCCCCAATTTCCTGTGGGTTGTGTGCCTCAAAGATGTTGAGTCACAGTGTGATTCACGTAGTAATCTAGATCTAGCGTATTTTAAATGTGAGCATTGGAAACTTGGACGTTCTGAGCTCGGTGACGGTATGTGATACTCAGCAAATAGCATTTAAAAGAGAATAAATACTTTATGCTGCGTGCTCGTCGAGAGTGTGCTAACCACAGTTATTAAGACTGGAATTTCTGTATACTTGCAATGTAAATCATGCACATGCCATGCCTTGCTGCTTGGTGGAAGCTTTGCAGAAGATTGTTAATAGAAGATAGGCTTTTATTCCTGTATAAACTTTTCAGTATTTTCATTCCATCTGCTTAGTTACAGCTTTATTCGGTATTGCTCTTTTTGTTCCCGTTCTGTCTGCTAAAATAACAGCGGTAAAGTACAGAGTGGTGACATTTAACTAGTGCTGTCATTTGGCCATAGAATTAATTTATCATTCTGTAAAAGAACTTTTGTTGTTTTACACTGGCAACCTTCCTTAAGCTGATACTGTGGTTTGCTTCTGCTAGAAGAAAAACTCTTACAGTTTGCACTCCCAGTGGTGTCCAGCAGCTCTCAAGTGTGTAACGGGATGAAGGGAAGAGACTGATAAAGACTAATAATGTAAGACACAGGTGATTCATTTTCTTATGCTCTCGTAGTCAAGGACAAGAGAAACACTACCATGCTAGAAACAGAGCCTGGCCCCTTGCTCTGTCTGCTGTACAGGATGTCAACAACAAAGGTTAATTTTAGGGGTACAAGCTTTTGTGATTACTGGCCCCAACTTCCTGCTGTTTGGAGAAACTCCCCAAATTAGCATCCAGAGCTGGAGTCAATATAAGTGGTGCTTCAGTAACAGTTCTTCCAAGAACCTGTCTCCAAAGGGAGCTGTCAGTGCTTCAGAGTTGTTTATAATGGAGCGTGCATCTCGACCACGCAGGAATGTCCCTGGCATCACAAGCAGTTCCCCTGAGGCCAGAACAGAAATTTATGATAGATCAGGTTTTGTTCTTTATGGTAACAAAACCAAGCATGGTATCCAAAAACATGCTGCAAACCGTTGAGGTTTAAAGCAATCTTTCTAAATGTTAGTGTTAACTGTTGTTGAGTTACTGTTGTATCTAACATAACTCTCATTATTTAGAGTGTATTAAATCTGGTTAAGCTTTTTAGTCCATGTTCTAGAGAATTTGCATTTTACTCTGAATTTACTTGATCCTTACTGGAAGCACAGTTTCTTGTTTTTAACTGATTCGTGTGTTCTTTTATAGTTGTTTGAATACAGTTGCCTACTTTCAGTCTGGATAATCAGATTTGTTAGTTTGCCATTGGAAAAATTAGTGCAGGCTGTAGTACAATCCTCTCCCGAGCTACATCCTTAATAGGAACTGGTCCATCTGCAGAGGCTGTTAGTGATGGAAATTCTTGAAGAATTGACTGAAGTGTTAGTGGTGATACTAGGTCAGACTGGAGACATCGTTCCTTTCAAAAAATCCAGACTTAAGGTGTGGGAGGTCTTTTAAGTTTTGTTGTAAATGGATCATCCTGTACATCCTGTACTTGGGGTGTAGATTCCATGTGGGAAGATACATTTAATTTTGTGGGCCAGGATGTGTAGCAGATAGGAAGCGGTGTTGTCGTCACTGGCTTTAATGATAATTGCTGAAGGAATAGGCTCTTAAATGCAATCCCTAGTCTCAACAGCAGTATACTTCAACAGTGGAATCGGTCTTCAAAGCTTTCACAAAGACATTTAAAAATGGGTATTTCTATAGTCAGACACAGAACAGTCATGTAACTCATTTGGCCTCATTTTATTATGTTTGTTTAGATGCTGAACAAAGAAGAATCTATTTACTAGAGACAGTCTAGGGTCTGGTACTCAGAAAAAGCTCAGTAGAGAAGTTCCCAGAGGCTCTGGCCTGTGGACTCTTTTCCACTCACCTTTTAAGTTACTACGCTTTTTTAGTTTACTCAATGTGTTCTCATTTGTCCTGTTTGGTATTCCACCCTTAACTTTTGGTGGAGAATGAACATACGCCCTAAGTAGGTTTTTGGGATTTTATTTTTTATTATTAAGGATGCATTCAGTTCTCTTGTTCTAAACTGAAAAGTTTATTTTAAATGAGATCAAAATCTTCAGCCTGGACTTCTGTCTACAGTTGTGGCTTCTTCCTGGGAACACCTACAGAGGACTGTGTATATGGCTGGCTAAATCAAGGAAGAAACTTTAGGAAAACACTTTCACAGTAGAGCTTTTGGGGGATAGGTTGTGTGGGTGTTCTTCCTTTTTTATTTTCCTTTTTTCCTTTCTGCTGGAATGTAGATAGATCAGTAGATTCTCTGTAGCTGTATCACTGTGAGCACACAGACCTTTCAGAATGTCTTACTAATAGGTCTATTAAGCCATGCAAAGGTTTTAGCTGTACTTGGGCAAGCCAGCCTGGTCGGTGACAACTGTTATATACACCAAGATTTTTAGGATTGCTCCATCTCTAATAAAAGCATAGGAAAGGTTTCTTTCCACACACACACCATTCACTGTCTGTTAATTTTCTCAGATTTTAATTAAATGAGTTCATTTCAATGACTTTTTTTTAATAAGCTGAACTTCAGAATGGTTTCTTTGTATTCACAGTAAAGGGCATTGTTTCAGAGTTGGCTTAGCACTCGTCACTAAACCCGTGTTCCTAATGTGAAGTTATGGCCTTTCCATAGTGTGGTTGGTTAGACTGAGTTTAAAATTTTAAAAAGCCAGCATCTGTTTTTTAATGTGTAGGTCATTTTTCTTTGTAATTGATGAAGTAAGACAAAACATTAGGACTAAATTAGCATACAAAAATGCTGAATTTAAACAGAGAAAGAGGAATCCTGTAACTTCAAAACTTTCAGTGTCTCATTAATCCCATTTTCTATATTTGATTCTTATTTATGCTGCTTTATAACTATTCCATACAGTGTGAAATGACCATACGCTTTGCTCCGAATACCAATATAAAAGAGATTCTGCTTCTTAACCACGGTCTATTTGAAGCTGATACACAAGTACTTCAGAGTTATTTGCCTCATGATATGGTCAACAATGGAGAATACCTGTATTGTTTGTGTGAGAAGAATGAGCAACTCTTCTGTGAAATAGAATGTCTGAGTTCTGTTCTGTATACATCAGGGTTAATTAATCGTAAATAGGACTTAAAAAAACCTCTTACAAGAAGTGTCAAGCTAGCCAGGAGCCTCTTAAGAGCTTGCATCTCTTACAGCATGTTTGCTGTAGGCGTTGCGGTTCCAAATTACTTCTTCAATGAGAATCACCCAGTGGAGTCTCCTGGATTCAAACCAAAATAAAATCTGGTTTTCCTGATGTACGTTCTCTTTCTTCCCCCTTCTTTACAGACTTGGGAAAAAGAATTACAAGGATTGAATATCACTATTGGGTGTATGGTGGTTGAGTAAATATTTTTGTGTTTACCACTCTTTCTCTCCCTAACATTTTAGGTTCTACACACGCTGGAAAGAGTGGGAATCGTGGTATTCCCAAAGCTTTGGTTTACATTTCTCATTGCGAGAGGAACAGTGGCAGGAAGACTGGGCATTCATACTCTCTCTTGCGAGTCAGGTAAGAAAACTTCTTTTATAAGATGGCTGTCAGAAAGGATATTTTAATCTCTGAAAAGAAACGTCAAGAATTTAAAGTGTTCTTCAGGAATAAGAATTTTAATGTATAAAGGAAAACATTCCTCTTAAGCCAGTAATCTTAAAGTATTACTGGGTAGACTCTTCTGCCAAGATGGAAAGGTTAATTTACAATTCTAATATTTGAATTTACCATTAAATGGTACAGTACAAAAAAGTGTGGTGTTCTTGGTGTCAGTGAAGCCTGTAGAATAAACAAATACACAATTGTCTATTTAATGTCCTGCCTCCTAATTCCTGCAACACTTACCTCCTAGAACATACCTACCAATCTGTAAACTTACACTACCTAAACCTCAGCAAGCTGATATTTTGTAACTCCCCTCCAAAATGAGATTTATGTTCCTATAAGCTTCCAACTATAGGAATATTTTTAGCTTCTCTTTTAAAGTATAAACATGATTTGAGTGCTCTTCTCTTGTCCTTTGTTTTGGATGTGCTCTTTATTTATTTATCTCTTCCTATTTTTCCATATTTACTTTAACCTGTCTTCAGATGAGTGAATTACTTTTAGACTAAGCGTTGTGTAGAGTTTCACTTCTAACTGGGAAATTAAATATGTTAGATTGAATCTGGCCAACAGGGCGAAGAATTATTACTGGCAGGTTAAGTTGTTGTGCAAGCTGAATGTTTTTGCTTATTTCTAACTGATATGTCTTCTAGTCTTCTGTTTTTCCTGTCAAAGCTAGGTTGCTCTTAAAAGCATTTTCATCCTTAATTTGGAGTCTGTTTTTTCAAATTCCAGAGTAGAGAATAAGCTCTGTTTCAAGTGATCTCTTTCTTTGTGTTTGGTTCAGCCTGGAGCGAGTTTGGAGCAGACACACATTTTTGTACTTGCACATATTCTTAGAAGACCAATTATAGTTTATGGAGTAAAATATTATAAGAGTTTCCGAGGAGAAACATTAGGATATACCCGCTTTCAAGGTAAGCCTTTAGTTTTTCAAATTTAGTTTTATCAGGTTCAGCTATAAGTCATAAACATAAAAAGTTGAGAGTGACATTAAGCTACTAGCTGGAAGAGGATGGAATTATGTTGAAGGTAAACTTTCGTTAGAAAAATAAGAAGAACGAAATAATCCCCTCAGAACTTGCAGTGTTTCACTGTATAGTGGGCATGGTGCCTGGAGCAACAGTAAAAACATGTTTTGACCTCCACTCAACATGCCTTTAGTCTCTACTTCATATAAAACATTCTGATTGTGCGAATTTACCAAAAGTTGTGTGGTTTGTACTGCTGTAAAACACAAGGAATTTAAAATTCCTTTCGCTTGTGGTGCTAACTAATGGCTGTAAACACTCATTTTGGGAACTAAACTGTATTTAGCATTTCCTAAAGGAGGCTGGTAAAGCTGGGGGCCAGGCAGGCAGAAGGTGTTTGCACCGGCAGAGCAGCAGCAGGATGTGGGACAGAGGAGCATCGTGCCTTGCAGGAGGCGGTTTGTGAAGCAGCCCTTACGAGCAGTGAAGAGTAGCCACCCTTAAAGCAAGAAGCAAGGGTATATGAAGAAGGGTCGAGAGGTTACAGTAGGGTGGAGAATGATAAAGTTGAGCTTTTGTTGTAGGTGATGAAAGTAAAAGAGGCGACAACCTGAGTGTACGGTGTGGAGGCTGAAAAAGAAGGAATTCTGTTCATAAATGCTCTACCAACAGTTACGTGCGAGGTCTAAGACTGGGTAACTTAGTTATGATTACAGAATACTGGTCGTAAATCTGGCCTTCTGCAGAAGTGAATTTCATGATGTAGTTAAAAGGAAGTTTTAGAAATTTATCTGTGTCAGTAATTCACACTTTACAGCAAGTGTGATGTAAATACTGCCCTTTTGCTCTAGCAGTATAATTTTGCTTAGCTTGATCAGGTTCTTTCTGACTTGTTTCTCCTTCTAGTCTTCTGGGCAAGCAGCCTAACTATCCTTAAGATAAATATGAAGATGTTTAGCTGACTCGGTCCAGTTTTGCTTAGACGTATGTTTGTAGATTACTGAAGATGTGTATTCTATTTTGTAAGCCAAATATGTGGTTGGGCAACTTTGTGTTGCATATTAAGTCTTTTATTAGTTGAAGAATAAAAACATAAGAGGGGATTGGGAGCATCTGTACGTGCTCAGCAGTAAACAAACCCCAGAAAGAACTGCTTGATCAGGCACTGCAGCTGTTACAGGGTGTTAGGGCTTTTGTTTCGCCCGTGGTTCATCTTCCTGCTTTCAGAGTTTATCTGCTTGATGACTACCCTGCAGTTGTTTTCATCAGCAGATCACTGTATTTATAGCTTAGCAGAGGACTTCCCAAAACATTTATTTCTGCGATTTTAAAACAGGTTCGCTAACTTTGGAAGGAGGCAAACCTGTAACGTAGAGAAGAACTCCAAGCTGTGGAGTTCATGTCAAACATGTAACCTATTGTAACTGTTCAATCTTCAGAAAATGTGAGCAACCATTCAGCTTCTAAGTTTGGGGTAGTGAGAAAACTTTTATGTGAAGAAATTAAATACTTTTTTGAAGAGTATAAAAACTTAGTGCTTTCTGTAGTTTTATTTGAGAGGATGAAAAGAGAGACTGGGGAAGAGCAATTATTTATGCGATGTATATCTGATGCTTCACGTTCTTATTGCTTTTAACTCAAAGGCTGAGTCGCTTGCAAAATTTTTTTATTTTATAGATGGGGCTTTGAGGCAGACAAGTATTACATGGCCTAAATACGCTGAAATTGTTTTCTCTTGCTCTGTGAACCAGAAGGTAACGGGGTGTCTGGGACAAGCTTTTATTAGACATGTGTTTCCAGGAATTTAGTCAGACAGCTATTATTGACTTGTGATTTTCTTGCCACAAGCTGCATCCATCCATCCATAGAAACGCACAACACTGAACAGGTGAACTTAGGAGTCCTGTGTCAAATTACCTGGAGTTACTTTTATCCCCGTGCTACCACATTTTTGTGGTTAATGTGTGCTAATTAAATGCTAGTAGCACAGCTGAAACCAAACAGCTGTCAGACTCAGAGTGGCACAGGCTGCTAAGACAAGTCTCCTGTAAATGGTACAAGACTTGCTGCTCTGGGCTTGTGTGTGAGCTTGGTGAAGCTCTGAGGAGTGCTTGGGCTTCTCCGACTTGCCGTGTAGCACCCTGTCTGTTTTTAAGATGACGTCCCCCAAAAAAGAAAGAGGAAAGAAAGATTGTGGATTAGAATAGAGATGAAGAAATCTTAATTTTTTTCAGTGCTTACTTAACATCATGGTTTAGTTGGTAGCACCTTGGAAGGTATGTAAACCCCTTATCCGCCCCCAAAATTTTTTTTTTTTTTTTTTTTTTTTTTCTCTCGAGGGATTCCTTGTTCCAACTCGGCATCCTTGCTGGTAACTGCTGTGAATCCCATAACCGACAGCCTCCTTGTTTCCTAGATTGCTATTGACTGTTAATCAATCGACTTCTTTAAATATTAAGGCTTCGACAGTGAAAGACTCATTTACTCAGCCTTAAGTGTGCTCCTGGTCTAGCTGCATGTATTTAGTGGCATGAATATACAGCTTTTAAAATTAAACAGGAAAAAAGGTGACTGACTGAAATTATCCGATCAGGTTAGAGAAACTAAATCCTCTGTGGATGTCTTCCAGGGTAGGTGTTAGGCTGTACTCTTTATTTTCCGTGGCTTGTTTGTGTGCGTGTCAACTGTTTTTACACCACCTTCTCAACATATATCCGATTGACTTTTATAAATCTTAAGAGCACTAGATTTTCTCCCTGGTAATGCGGGAAATTCCCTTCTTGTGAAGCTCATCGCATCGTGTTGAGGAGGAATGGGAAGCGTAACCCATCCTTCTGTCTTGGGGAGGGAGGTTAGTGTGGTGGTTTTACTCAGGTAAAACAACGGTGAAAAAAACCTTCCAAAATGTTGCTGAATTTCAATGTAGAGATTACGTCAAGGCAAACAGATCAGCTCCGCTCCTGAAGGGTCACGTAGCTGAGCCTGACGCAGGGGTTCTGCGTTGTTAGATGAGACATGTGACGTCCATAGAGATGAGACCCTTTGCTTACCAGCGATTTCTGTAGCCCTGACAGGGGCCAGAATCTACCAGTTTAGGTCAGCAGGGCATTAACCGTCTGTATTAATTGGCATTAAATTAAATTGACCTTCCCCAGATTGAATCTGTTTTGCCTGTGATGGTAACGGGTGAGTGATCTCCCTGTCCTTACCTCCACCCACAAGGTTTTAATGGTGTTTTCTCCCCTGTCCTGCCGAGGGGAGTGAGGGTGCAGCTGGGTGGGTACCAGGGGGGGTGTCGTGAGGAGCTGGCACGCTTTGTGAGGGAGGAGGGGACCTTTTGATACATCTCTGCGACCATAACTTGTGGGAGAAGAGGGGTAAACGGTCACCCTGAGGGTGCTGATGCTTTCAGTTCTGAAAGGCCTCGGTAACCCGAGCGACATGGCACCCTGCAATAGCAGTGTCCCACCCTCGCTGCTTGCTTGTCTTGCTGATGCTTCAGACTAGAGGTTGGAAAAAAGTTGATTATTTCTCACAGTGTGTGCATGAAGAATGAATTTCCAGGAATGGAGGGACTGTCTCTATTACATTTGACTGTCAGTATGTTATTTTCAGTATGACTTTGAATTTTGGCCGGATGTTTGGTTCTTTCCCTAAATGTAAAGGCTTGAAATTTTTTGGTTAACGCTTACCCCTTGTTCTGCATCTTTTGTGTCTACAACTGAATTACAGTGAGAGGTCATTGTAATGGGGATGGGAGGAAGGGAGCGTTAAGAAGGTATTCGACGGATTGGTGCTTAGCTCTAGATGTAAAAGCTTGTGTGAATATTAATCTCAAGGAGATACTTTGAGGTGTTTCTTGATTGCTACTTGAAGAAAGGGAGGGGGGGGAAGGGACAAATATTTACTGGTAGCCCCCACTAATTTTTGTTACAGCAAAGCGAGATGAGTTCTAAACCTAAGTAAAACCTCCGACTCCATCCCCTGCCTCAGATTTCCATTTTAGCGTTGCCCGTCCATCTACATGGATGTTGGGGAAGTGAAGTGCCTTGTTTTGCTGCCGCGTTTATTCCGAACTTACTGGCAGCAGCTGTACTACGAAAGGTTGCTATGCTACATGTGCACTTAAGTTTATGCATGGCTATTTTTAAGCTGTCACAAGGTAAGGTGTGCTTTCGCTGAAGATGTCTTGCAGCAGTACACACCAAGAATTATTTATGTTCCTGGAAGAAAGGATTTCTAGTTTTATTTTGAGTCTTCATGCACCTCCAGCAAATTGCTGTCTTTACTGCTAAAAATGGAGGGGAGAAAGAGTGCAGTTTCTTTCAGAATCTGTGACTTCGGTAATTTTTAGTTGTCTCTGAGCAAAATAGTATCAGCTTTTCGCTGGTGGCTTGGGTTTGGCTTTTTGGGGGGGGCGGAGACTAGATACGCATAATTGATGTGGGTTAATTTAATCTATTCATACCATGTTTATGCAAAGTCCCATTGTCTCTGGGATGGGCTACATACTTAGGTGCTGAATAATATTTAGTGCAGCAAGTTCTTTTAATAATAATTTTTGTAAGCAGATGGTGGAATCTTTGTTCTGGTAAAAATAGACATCTGACTGTAGCTTTTATTTCTGTGATGCAGAATCAGATATTTTTTTTTCCTTTAATTTTTTTATTTATTTTTAAGAAGAGTTACCAAACGTAAGACAGCTGTTCTAACCTTTCGTTCATTGCTATACTGTAGACCATAGATTTTTAGGGGAATGGTAATGTGGTACTCTTTGTAATTGTAATGGCTTTTATGGCTAAACTTTTAACTTTTTAAAATTAGAGATACTTGACTAATCTCAACCTAATAATAATTAGCTGTACTGAAAAGTATGACCTGTATTAGTATACATCAAACCAATATGTTTTAAATGCTTGTTAATGTGCTGCTGGTGCTGTGTTTAGCCAAAAGCAAGAGGTTTGTATCAAAAATTCTTTGTCGATGACCACTGTAATTCTGAGTCTTACCCTTCCGTTTAACTTGTTGTAGGTGTGTATTTGCCTTTGTTATGGGAACAGAGTTTTTGTTGGAAAAGTCCTATTGCTCTGGGCTACACGAGGGGCCATTTCTCTGCTCTGGTTGCCATGGAGAACGATGGTTATGGCAATCGAGGTGCTGGTGCTAACCTGAACACTGATGATGATGTTACTGTTACCTTTCTACCGTTGGTGGATAGCGAGAGGAAACTATTGCACATTCACTTCCTTTCTGCTCAAGAGGTAAGAACTAGCTGGTGGCTTTTGTCACAGCTGCTCTTTAAGCTGGGACCTCAGCAATCTCTGTAGCCCCACGTGTTTTTGCAGCTCAGGGAATTACGGGGAGTACACTGTCCTGGTTAATTCATACTGCTCCCTTTCCCGTCACTGGAGAAGATTCTGAAACATATTTTCCCACAGACTTGATGCTTATTTATAGCTTTGTAAATTGAATGTAACTTCACTGCGCACGTGAATACAAGTGTACCTTGAGAAGGACTCGGAAATAAGGATTCTGACACTAACGTGAGACTGAAATAAACCTTTTTATGAAGGATGCAATGAAAATATTGGCCAGTACTTGCAGGACGCTCTACCTCTTTTTCTGATGAAACTCAACTAGTTTCCTATCAAAGACAGGGAACCACTTCAGTAAAGTGTGTTCCTGGGGGAAGGGAGGGAGAGTTGGAAAACTTGAAGTAATTGCAAAAAGTGGGCATCCTTTAGATAAAGGAGAAAAAATATGGCTAAGTCTAGAGAGGGATATTTTTTCCAGCAAGCCACATCTGTTATGCCTTACAAAAGGAAATGTTTCATGTCAAGAAGTGCTAGACTCCTAAAAAGTGCTTTGTAAAGCCTCAAGGCCCTTTTAGGACTTATCCTACTTATATATGGTACCTGGCATAAATAATTAGTTGCTCACAAATAATTGAAATTTAGGAAGGCTATACTGGAAATACACCTCTAAAGAATTTAGCAGGGCAGAACAGCTGGCGAGTGTTTCCAGAGCCTTCAAATTTGGGTTGAAAACACAGCACGGATCAGCGTGGCTTTGGGAGGCTCCAGCTCCCTTGGCTCTGGAAAGGAACTGCCTCGCTCCCCGAGCCTGGGCGTTCCAGAAAATCGCGGGTGGCTTGCTTAAAGTTTGCTGGTAATGTTTCAGGCCTCGTTCTCAATGGGTTTTCTCCTTCCCCCCAAAGATAGGTAATGAGGAGCAGCAAGAAAAGCTGCTGCGGGAATGGCTGGACTGCTGTGTGACAGAAGGAGGGGTTCTCGTGGCCATGCAGAAAAGCTCTCGCCGGCGCAATCATCCGCTGGTCACCCAGATGGTGGAGAAGTGGCTTGATCGCTACCGACAGATCCGCCCTTGTACGTCCCTTTCCGATGGTGAGGAAGATGAGGATGATGATGATGAATGAAGGAATTGGGGGGGAAAAAAAAAATAAAATTATCAGCGCAAAGCGTCTGACCCAGAGTTAGTGTCGTGCTCTAGGAGTTCGTTGTGGAACGACCCGATTTGAGGGGAAACATGCTGTAAAAGGCTTTTTCTAACCCGCATGGAGAGAGTCTAGAAGCTCATCTGCTGTGTGAAGAGAGCGAAATGGGCTGGACTACCGTTTGTATAAAAACAAAAAGAAACAAAAAACAGCTAATTTTATTATAAAGACAGAAAAAAAATTTTTTTTTTTCTTTCTGATTGTAAATCTGTCTATAAATGTACCGCATGTGGTTGTGTTAAGAGGTTGTGTAATAGGAAAAGTATACCAGCATCTTAATTATTGCAAAGAAATTTTTCAAATAAGGGCACTTACGAAAGCACATGTTAGATGGATCTCTCTTCCCTCCAAGATTCTTTTACAGTAGAACTTGCTATTCTACATCACCTGTTCAATACTCTGACACATTTCCGTGAAAGGCCCTTTTTTGTGAACTCTCACTAGTGCCCAGGTCAGATTGTGAGGTGTTTTTTGTCTGCACAAAATACCCACAGCAAGTCATAAGCAAAAATACATTCGTTATTTTACTAATATCTTAGTATGCTGTGCCCGTATAATAAAATCTAAACTCTACGGAACAAACTGGAAGAGAAGCTAAATTTTTCATTGAGTGAAATGATTTGTTTTCCTGAAAAAAGTTTTAGTTGGTTTTGTTTTGTTTTTTTTTTCCTTCTAATAGTTAATAGATTCCTTTCAGTATATGTAAGAATATTTATTCAGAGAAGTGACCTAAAATATAGGGATTTTTATTCCAGTGAGCATATATTAAGCAAAATTGTGTGAAATTTTAGAACTCGGACATGATTGAGAAGTTCATATTGTCAGAACTCCCGTCTTGCTGTGATACAAACTATGTATTATTTTTATCATTTATTCTTTCACCAACTTAACCATTGCTGCGAATGAAAAAACTCCTTTTTAAAGGGTTACTCCTCAGTCATTAAATCTAGTGAGAATACACTTGGCAGTTCTAATTAAAAAGAAGAATCTATGCTAAAGGTTTTTTTTTTTTTTAAAGAAAAAAAGCACTGTGTTATATATTTCTCAGTATGTAAACCTGGGAATTTCTTGCATGTTGATTGATGTGGCCATACTTAAACTCATGTAAGTTCCTAAGATTGTAAGTTCAGAGTATATTCTCCAGTAGAAATTTTATTATATTTGATAACTTTAGCCATGTAACCTGTAATGGATAAAGTTTATCTAAAAATCTCACTTAAACACTAAAGGTTAATGCCAGTTTTTACATATACAGTGCAATTCAGGTTGTCTTGAAAAGCACTTTTGATGGTGTGGTGGTTGAATACGCAGTTTTGCAGTAGATGAAATTGTTTTAATTAGAATTTGGAAAGAAGCCCCATAGCACATATTTTTATGTAGTTCAGAGCTATGGAAACCCCTGAGGAACTTGCTGCTTTTTCTTCCAAATGCTGCTTAGATGGTGTTGAAACGTGCACAACTCCTACATAAACTTGGTGACGACACCAGAAGTATAGAAATAACGAAGTACTGTATTAACTTAGCAATTTCCCCATCGCAGATTCCATTGAGGTTTCTGAGGAAATGTCTTCACCTTTTTTTTTTTTTTTTTTTTTCCTTTTTTTTTTTTTTTTTTTTTGGCTGTTAGATCTCCTCTGATTGGTGCATGCGCAAATCTTCAGGTAAAAGCCTGCATGCTTGTCTGCACCCTGCGTGTGATTTACCTGAATACACAGCCAGTCCCAGACACTAAAGAAGTTCTTCACAGGCATTTGGTCCTGTTTCAAGTTTGCTTTTTAAATATTTTTCTTTTTTTGGTCCTTTTTCTTACCTTGCAGTGAAATCCTTTTAGACCTTGCCTAGCTGAGGACGTGAAGCTTTTCTGTCAGGGGAGACAGAAGGCGGAGTAAGCTGGGATGAGAATTTCCCTGGTCGGAGGTGGCCGGCACCGCGCGCCCGGTGGCATCGTTACCTGTCACGGTGTCGCCCCGCACGCTCCTGGAGGTGCTTCTAGTCCAGGGCTCGGTGTGCCAGCATCAGGAGTGTTTTGTTCCATGAATAGATCGCTGTAAATTCAGATCCTAGCTTACCCAGGCCTGGCTTCCCTGTGCAGCCCCATTTGAGTGGACAGAAGGATAAGCTCCTGCCTTCAGTAGGCTATTTCGAGGGGTATATGCAAAAACGCTGTGCAGAATTTTAATTCCCCCGTCCTGCGCGCTTTCCCCGTAGTTCTGTTCCGTTTGAGGAAGTCGCTTCCTTGTAACATGGGGAAAATAACCAATGTGAACGTCTACCCTGAGCCAGATTGGAGGAGCAGGCCTTGGCTGTGGCCTGACGCGCCCATCCCCAGCCAGCCCCTCACCACAGAGAGTTCAAGTTCACCCCGCAGTCGGTTCAGCTGTTGTTTTTTTTTTTTATTCAAAAGCATGCAGCGTGCTCCGTGGTATTTACCTGGCTCTGGTGTGAGAGGACAGTCCCGGTACTTCAGAGCTCTCGGCTTTTTTTGATCTTTATTGTTTTGTTCTGATGTGCTGTAAAATGGTATGTTCAGGTTAACACGCTTCACAGGTCATTTCGGAACTGGTGAAGTAGCTTTTTTTTCAGAATCCAAGTAATCCAAACCTCATGTACCTGTAGATTAAAGAGCTGCAAACCCCTGCTTTGTGCTAGCACGGTAGTCAGTGTATGTTCATGGGTACGCTCCTTCAATTACAGACTTGAAAGTTTACAAATACTGAGATTAATTTGCAAATGCTACCTTGCAGCTTGTCGGCAAGTTTTAGCCAAGTATATATATGAAATCGGGTTTCTCAATGTTATTTTTCCTCATTATTATTGCTCGCAGCAGCACACGCTTTCCTAGCACAGAACTTGGCTTTTCATTGCTACCTCCTTTACATCTGGTCGTTTTTTCTGGTTTTATTTATGAATTCCTCAGTGAAAAAAATCCCTGTATTTCTTTTGTTTTTAATATATTAAAATTTAGTAATTCTGAATTCTTCCAAAGTTCTGCTGCATGGCTTACGGCAAATAGTACTACATTGTGTTTTCTCCATTAACAGAATGGGTTTGTGTGCCTTTAGAGACCCTTATTTAATGGCCACTTCTCCTTTTGTTCAGTAACTTCCCTTACCACTTCTTCAAATATTCAGTAGCAACTGCTTATCTCCTGGGTTTTGTGTTGTTTTGTTTTGTTTTTTTTTTTCCCCAATAATTTTCCAGTTGCAAGTTGCAGCATGTTCCCAGAGTATCTTAACGGCGAGGATGCTCTTCCCCTCCTGCTTCCATGGAGCTTCTCTTTGCACTTGAAACCCCACAGCAGAAAAGCCACCGTCGGGTACCAGAACGTGTCCTTTAGGCTGTAACCCCCAGGGTTTCTTCAGTTTCTACTCTTGGAGCTTGTAGCACTTCAGTAGAGGCTGCTGGCCCACGTTTGCATCCATCCTCAGTTTTGGCTGAGAGGGAGGTTGGGTGTTGGGTGAAAAGCCGAGCGTTTGCTGTGCTGGGGGGTCTGAGGGAAGCCTCGTGCTGTCCGGGGGCCGAGTCCGCTGGTGCCACCTCCCACTGGCAGCGGATGCCCGAGATCCTGGGACGCAGGGAAGTGCCTGCGCCCATCTGGGATGCAACTGCTTATTTAAAACCAAACAAAAGTAGCACAGCTAGTTTATTTTTAAAACAAACCTCACATCGATTAAATGTTTCCCTCTTGGTTTACACTGTCATTTCAGTGTTTCCCAAACACCTGCTCTGTAACCAACCTGTTTTATCCTCCTGGTTTCTCCTCGTCACAAATAATCACTGGTGTGCTGTGTTGGTCACTGGCAGTGCTCACTCCCCGATGAAAGTTTTTTTTTTTTTTTTTTTTTTTTAATGTGTTTGAAGCTGATAACTAGTTTTCAGTTTAATTTAAAGCAAACAAAATACAGACTTCTGTAACCTGGATGTTTTTTGGTTTCAACTTTTGTAGTCCCCTTCTAGCCCAAGCTCTTTGCCCCATCTAAGGCTGTGTCTGCTGGCACCCGACACTGTGAAAGGGTGGAAGTGAAAGAACAGGACTTTTGTCTAGCAAGGCTTTACGCTGCTCCTGACTCTCAGGCGTGTTTTCAGCCTCATTTCCAAGCAGTTTGTTAATGCTGCATCTCGAGTATGTACAAAAAACATTGGTTGAGGTGTACCTGCCTTTGTAGCTAATGGAAACCAGAACGATGATTTTTTTTTTTTTCCACTTAGGCTGCTTATAATGTCCCACTTGATTTTTAAATATTCACAAATTAGAAACAAGTTTACAGCTTCTGCGTAGGAAACGAAACTCAGGCAGCGTTTCCCTAGCAGCACGATTTTAACACTGACCTGCACGCAGCGAGCTTGAACCGAGTTTCTGCAGCGTTTCCCAGAGTGTCCAGGTCCTCCTGCCGCGGGCGAGGTGAGCGGGTCCCAGCTGCTGCTCGAGGGCCGGAGGTGCCGCAGTCCCAGCAGAACTCACCTGCCCTGCGCTGCCAGACCCTCGCTGCCGCGGGAGGGCACAGGGTGCTCAGAGCTGGGTTCTGTACCTCACGGTGCCGTCTCACTGTCTTCAGCTTAGAGCAGTGGTCAGACTGCAGCGAGAGCTCTTACCTTTCAGAAATTATAGAAATTTTATCACTTTTTATTGAAAACTGCACTGAACGCTAAATGTCCACCTTTACAATAAACAAATACAGTAACGGTAACACACTAAAACAAAACATACTTCTGATAGCCATTGTTTTTTTTGTGTTTTTTTTTTTTCTGTTTGGGACAGCTTAAGATTTTTTTTTTTTTTGTCACAGAAACAGGAATGTACCCATACAAAGGCTCAAAATAGGCCATCTTTTTAAAAACAAAAAGGCGATGATCCACAAAAGACTATGAATATAACATGTAACTAGTTGATACAAATCTAATAGGATTTGTTAAAATCAGTCACATCTAA